TTGACTCGATCTCAAGTTGAGCAGATTAGTGAAGCAGAATGCTCTGGTGAGAGTTCTGGAAGGCTGAATGCCCAACTATTTAAAGGGATTCATGATGGAATCTTCAGGATTCAGTGGGTTGTAAAATCTCTTTGGTTGATGTGCTGCCAAATGCGGCAGTTCTTTCCAAGAATATCAGAACAAAAGGAATGAGGAGGTGGAAGGGGAACCAAAACAGTTTTATTAACAAACATACATACAAAGCACAACACAAAAACATACCTGACAAGGGCCACCCAATCTCCCCTTCAGCTGCCCAGATCCCCACGTAGAATAGCAGGAGAAAGACCCTGACCGTAGGTCTCCAAGCATCAGGTCCTTTGATCTGGGCAGAAACTCACTGGGCCCCTCCCACCTATGGCTTGTATAGCCTGCCTTGATGTAATCATGTGCACCTGGCATTACTCATGATTAATACAGAGAGGCTGAGCGTCTCCCACTACCTGCATGTGGCATCCAGCCAGCACTTGCAGCACAGAAGAACCCAATAAACTCCCGACAGGTGTGTGAAACACAAGAATCCAACTGGGGATGTTAAAGGGTGAAATATACTCGGAGCCGAGAGTGGATTTCATGCTCTTTATTCAGCTCATATTAGCGAGGAATGAAAGTTCCCCCACAATATCTGCTTTATATACATTATTTACACAATGGGCCGCATGTGATTGGCTAATTCCGGAATTCTCCTGTAGGCCACTCAGGTTGTGGATTCACTTCCATCTGGAGCTGGGTTGGGTGGCTCCTGCAGACCAATCATACTGCTTCATTGTTCTAGGACCAATCAGACGGCTGCATTCTGAATCCTATGGTTCTAAGACCAATCAGAATGCTGCATTTTGGATCCTATTGTTCTAGGACCAATCAGACTGCTGCATTTTGGATTCAACTCAGTACATAACAAAGGGAAAGGGACATGCCACCTAACTCCTCGAAATACATTTGTCTTCCGCATTTTCACTACAGTTGAGTGGAATAATAAGACCACAACTAGGAAGGCTGGCAGACCCACATCAGAGGCACCAAGTTGCCCCCAAGATTGAGGGGGCCTGGCATACGACTTATGCACTAGACATCACACTGTCGGGTAGGAGGTCAAGGGCTCTGGAGGAGCTGGTCACTGAAGTTGAGCCATGTTCTGCTCTGTGCTTGGCCTCCTCCACCCCTCAACACTAAGGGGGCACAACCTCCATCCCACAAATATTGTAAACCCTTCAAGTGTCCCTATTTTCCAGGGACAGTCCCAGATTTTCAGAAGCTGTCCCAATATCTTATTTGATACCAGAATGTCCATTTTTCCTTAGAATGTCTCTATTGTATTTTCATCAGAGAAATGCTGTGGGGCATGAGAGTCAACTCCTAGGGGCTGATGGGACTTTGGCCCCCACAATAAAATATTTGAGGGGGTGACCCCCCAAATATGATGAACTGATGAGCATTTCTATTCAAATATTCTGTGTGCACTGTATCATATGATCATTTATGTGGGGCAGAGCTTACCTGGGCCCCCACAATATTGTATTCAACCTAGCACTCCTGTTGGAGGGTATGGAGTTATCCTAACCTCAGGTCATCTGATGGCAGCCCTGTATAGGGAAGCTTTTCAATATTTAACGTTTTATTATGCTTTCATATATTTTGGAATCTGAGCAGAGTGGCTGGGGCAAGCCAGCCAGATGGGTGGCCACTACCTCCATTCCCCAGCGGTTGTTCCTGCAAAGGATTGCCTGGTTCACACAGGGTTGAAAGCATGGGACCGATTGTGTATGTATTCATGCACAATCTATTTGTTGTGCTGTTTTAATATTCTTGCTATTGTTCTGTTTCTAGTTACTTGGGGAAAATGGGGGAAATACAGTTGTAAGGAGTGAAGGGAAGAGGTCCCGGGGACACAAGCAATTTGGTGGTTTTTCCCAACCCTTCCAGAGAGTAAATAAAGAAAGAAACCACCACTACATTCCTGATTGCATTTATGAAAAATGACACAGTAAATCATTGGCACAACAGTTGTTTATTATTGTTATTATTTTATTATTATTAAAACCGGGAGGTCAAAGCATTGGAAGAAACTCGAGATTTCCTTTACAGAAAGCAGTTGAGTTGCAGCAAAGGCTTGGCTAATCTTCTGAATGTTAGGGACATCAGATTGGTTAGGAAGTAGGGTATCTTTTCCAAAAGGTCTGCTGAGATATAAAGATTCTCCTGGATTTCATCTGGGATATCTTTCTGCATGCCATCTACTTTGTGCTGCAAGCTCTAGAGACAGTGCAGGAAGTCAAAGCAGGAAGTCAAAGCACCAGCAAGAAGGGGAGGTTTTCCCCGCAGAAAATCCTTGAGGTGCAACAAAGGCTTGTCTAAACTATTGAACCAAATGCTAGGCACATCAGAAAAAGGAAGCCATCTTTTACCAAAACTTTGGTGATATACCCTGGAACCTCAGATTACGGTGGGGAACTGTTCCAGAGGCCCCTCTTTAACCTGAAAACGATGCTACCGAAAGTGTCGCGTCTGCGCACACGTGTGGCACGATGTGCTTCTGTGCATGCACAAACACAATTTAGTGCTTCTACACATGTGTGAACGGCGCGCACCTGGAAGTAACACATTCCGGTACTTCTGGGTTTGCGCTGGTTGCAAGCTGAGGGTGACATAAGCCGGAGGCAACATTACCCGAGACTCCACTGTATAAGGATGGTATGGAAAAGCAAAAGTACATAAAGGATTTCATAACCATATAATAAGAAAATCTCTAATAAAGCTATGGGAAAATATAAAGATTTACAGTACTTAATTCGTTCCGGAGGTCCATTCTTAACCTGAAACTGTTCTTAACCTGAAGCACCACTTTAGCTAATGGGGCCTCCCGCTGCTGCCGCGCTGCCAGAGCACGATTTCTGTTCTTATCCTGAAGCAACGTTCTTAACCCGAGGTAATATTTCTGGGTTAGCGGAGTCTGTAACCTGAAGTGTATGTAACCTGAAGCGTATGTAACCCAAGGTACCACTGTACTGGAAATTAAAACCCCGTGGTGGCTATACCAAAGTGTCAACAAAGAAAGGAATATGGCCAACATATAGAGATCAATTAACTGATCAAGAAGGAAAGCAAAAACTTAAAGATTATGATGAGATAAAGGAACACCTTCAGAGTTGGTTGCATCACAGGCAACAAAATGAAATCTTTATAGAGGACAATAAGAGAGGATTTACTTACACGGTTTCCAGATTCCAAAGGGATATTATAGATGATAATTGTAAATTATTGAAGAAGGCATATAGTATACTTTTGGAATGGGAAACTAAAGACAAAGTTTCTTTTTAAGAAACTGCTGGGAAAGCATTTCACTTTGCAAGTAGCCCCCACCATGGGAAGAGAAGAGCTAAAACGCTTATCGCAAAAAGACAATAGCCATACACACAACTATACACGTAACATGCAAGTTCACAGCATACACAATACAAAGCACAAGAGCTTTTGCTACAAAATGTATCCATGTGAAGGTCTGAATACGAATATGCTTATGCTAGAAGCACAGGCGCACTAAAATGAAACGTAACTAAATAAGTTCTGGCTAATGACAGATTGTATACTTCCTGGAATGAGCTAATGGTGCATTTGAATGGGGGAAATCGTAATGCTCCGTGGAATAAGCCTATAAGTAACCCATCCCCCCTGGTTCTGGGGTGGGGTTCCAGCCTTTGTGGAGCAATCCCGCTGAAACACTTTACTGCAGTAAATAAACTTTCTGGATTCTTTTTTTCAACCCGACTCACGAGTAGATAATGGTACTAGTGAGAGTGAAGGGAGAGAGAAGGATTTTCTATATTCTCTATACCTTGTACCTAAGAAGGATTTTCTATATTCTCTGTATCTTGGATCTAAGTAAATTTCTGAGCTAATTTGACTTCTGCAAAATGTGGTCAGCTAGTAGCTAGCAGACACCGGCTGTGTGCTAAGTCTGTAAGAGGCCCCTTGCGCTTCCTGTCTTCAGCAACGCAAGAGAAGAAAGACACGTATAAGAAAAGTCACATATAGGGAAAAGGGAGGGGGTGCTTAGCTAGCCATATAGACATGCTATGCCATATAAGGAAATAAGTTGAAAACTTTCCAGCTGATTGGGGAAGTTTCGGGGGGGGGGGGCATTTGGGGGAGGAGGGAGAGAGAGCTTTCTCAAAGTATAAGAAACTTTGCAGGTGCGTATTTCTTGGCAGCCAGTCTTCCAGAAGTTATTCTGCTGGCTGTCTCTGCACAGTTAATAAACTGCTTTCCTCCAAAGAAGGATCTTTCCTGGTGCTTTCTTTTGCTCTCTCTTCGGATCTGGGGACGCGGGCCAACGATTCCCTGGCATGGACTAGGCTCAGCCTACAAGAGAGCAGGTTTGCACTGTAACAAGAGGAAGGCAACACAATTTTATTTTATTTTAAGGTGGATGAAGTTTCCAAGAAGCCTTAAGTACAACCAGAGGCTCATTGGGATACAGTGGGAGATTGTCCCTAACAGCTCAACTAGGTTGTGGGAGTATTTGGCTGCAATGGAGCTTAGGGAATTTGGTCACGCTATTCAGTGATCTTTGGCAGGCTAGGCAAAAGCTGTTGTGCAATGCCACAACTGGCCAAGGTCCCAATGGTGACAAGTGCTATTGTTGGGCCTCCAAGGGGTGAAGCCCTGGAGGCACGTTGTGATATATTTTCCAATTATTTCAACGATTTAAAAGATTCATGTCTTCCACAACATGGTTGCAGTACGTTTAGATGTCCAGTCTGGAAAGGACATCACCTGGCCTTCTCAACAAGAAGCCTCTGGTGAAGGTTGCCCATAGCCTGACAATGTTGATTGCACCTGGGGAGAAATAGTGAATGTATTACACTGGTGCCTTGAGTTGTGAATGAACTGGATAAGGGTTTCAATTGGAAGTCAGTCTGGTGAAGCTGCAGATATTGAGCGGTGGGAGGGTAGAAGATAGGATGGATCTGCTGGATCTGGATGCTTTGCAGGAGATGTGTCATGAGACAAAGGTTCTTGAGAGGAGAAGCAGGCAAGACCTAGGCAGTGCAGTCTATGAGGCCTACACAAATCTTTCAGGCCTAACTGTTAGCAGTAAAATGCTGTGTCACTGTGACTTGTGACTCAACTTGGGTTCCCTATAGAAGTAGCAAGCCTCTCTGTGGGCCTCAGTCTGGCTGTATAATGTGTGTGTCTCAGCTCAGTATGTGTGTGTCTTGTTGAAGACAGAGAGGCTCCAGGACTACAGTTAATCAGTAACTAAGATCTGTGCCTCTGTAAAGACTAAGAAAGCTGTTATGAGCACTCTGTGTATGCTCTTTAACTATGCTGTTTATGAACAAATTTATTTTCTTCAGTAAAGTCCTTATTCTGTTTATGAAGAAGACTCTGTGTTGATTAACATCCCGTTCCACAACAAGATAGACCACGGATCCAGTCACCCAGAGTGGCTGGGGAAACCCAGCCAGATGGGCAGGGTATAAATATATTATTATCATTATTCTTGTTGTTATTATTATTATTATTATTGACTCCCAAGTGATACTGGTGGAATCCATGGTCCTGTCTGGATTGAAACACTGGCCATGATCATTCACACTTTCAGAGTCTCCAAATTGGACTACACTAGCGTGTTGCTCAGAGGTGCCTTTGAAAACAATTTTTGCTAAGACAGCTAATCCAAAACGCAGTTGGAAGCTTCTTGACCACAACAATTGTCACTTGGATTTAGAACAAGTTCAAACCTGAGCAGGAAACATCAAGAACATTCTACAATGTACTTGGGATGGAATCATATCTTGCAAGACAAATTTTAAAATGACCGCTCCCACTTCAAATGGGGGTGCCTTTTGCGTGGTCATGGGCAGCCCCCCGGATCCCAGTGCTACTCCTGGTAGTTTGGACTGGCTTCATCCTCCCCAGGCTGGATACCTGGAGGTCTCTGCCTACCTCAGCCAATCGTCCAATCCCGACTGGGGAAGCCTTGCCAGGGGATTGGCCAGGTAACGGGAAGGACCCACACAACAGAAGGTGAATCTTCCCTGAGAAGCGGCAGTCGGCTCCAGAACTTCTCCCACCCTCCCTCCCTCAGTTAAGTCTTCTTTTGCAGGTTAACCTCTTCTCCACAGGTATGCAGGCGCTGCTACATCAGGATCGCTGCTGAAGGGCTGGAAAGGAATTTTCTTGCATTGGCAGGTTTTGCCTTTCCCGTAGCAAAACGTCACAACTTTGGCAGTTTCAGGCCTTGTTGCGGAATCCTTTAGTCTATCTTCCTAAATTGGGGGTGAGGGTGAAGCGGTGACCCACGCCCCCCTTGCGGCGGTGCTACCAGGGTTCCCAATTAAAGGGGTCTGGAGGGGAGGCACTGGCCATAGGCAGAGAGGTCGTCATTGCTCTCCCCTCCAACGGCAGCAAAACGGGGGGCGGGCTCTCTGTTCTCCAGAGCCAGCCCAATCCCCACACATTCTGGATAACCCTGAAGTCTCCCATGTCCCCAACTGGGGACTGGGAAGGATAAACGCCCAATGCCTGAGCCAAGGTCTCCCTACATCTGAAACTTAATAAAGTTGTGGCCCATTTTAACTCCATAGCACGTTGTCTTGAGTCATTATTCCGCTTGGGGGTCGCCTGGGGTTAGGGGGGCTCTGCCTGTCCACACAATGACTTTCACACCTGCATTTTTTTACATATTTTTAATGAGTAAAATACACTGCTTTATCTGTGTTGAGCAGAAATAAGCTTTCTTGGCTTCCCCAACTGAAGATCCTTCTCTTTTTTCAGGGAGTCGAGGTTAAGAAACATGCACTGGCCTGGAGTTGCACATCATTTTTTCACACAGCACATTTGACTACTGCCACAGTCAGTTTTGCTGATGTACTTGTTGCTGGGGCATTTTCCCGTCTGAGAAATGCAATTGCCTCCCTGTTCTTTACACGTCTTTCCTTTCATGCAGCACACATTTCTAGCTGAACTGCGGAAGCTCGCTCAGCACTGCGACTTCCAAGATCTGGAAGAGACTCTCCTGGATCGGTTTATCGGTGGTCTGAGCAGCAAGAAAGCCAGAAGACGCATCGTGGCTAAAGAAGAGGTTACCCTTGCTTCAAACTTGAAGGAGGCCACCGCCACAGAGAATTATGAAAGAGAGGAGCTTGATGCCAGTCGCAAGGCCCCTAAGCCACAGATAGAAGTTGCGCATGCCATGGACGAGCTAGAGGCTACTCCGAGCCAGAGCCCAGTCTGTGGGGTCGAGTCAGTGCGTCAGGCCTGCACAGTGCACAAAGATCACAGAGGCAGGTGCCCTGGTTGTGGCGGAAACCATGAGCAGAAGAGTTGTCGTTTCCGGGGTGCTATGTGCCGGACGTGCGGGAAGACAGGTCACATCGCCAGGGTCTGTAGATCGGCGGCGTTGGGAGCGACAGGAGCACCTAGACTGGAGCATCGCAGACCAGCCACAGCAAACCATGCTCTAAAGGACTGCCACTACGTAACGGAGATCAACGGGAGGGTCGTGCAGTTTCCAGCGCAAGGCAAGGCACACATCAAGGTGAAGATTGAGGGTCAGCTGTGCGACATGGAGGTGGACTCCGGATCTGGATTCACTATCGTGTCGGACAAGACCGCGAGGACATTCTTCCCCAGGGATAAGTTGCCCCCTCTGGAGCCCTTCCCGGCAACTTTGCAGTCATACTCAGCGGGCCGCATCCATGTCATGGGAATGTGTGCCGTGAGAGTACAGTTCTGGGACAAACAGGTGGTACTCAAACTGGTGATTGCGAAGGGCTGTCGCCCCAGTCTCCTGGGCACTGACTGGTTCCCCACCCTGGGACTGAGTATATCAGGGCTTAATTCAATCCAAACCTGCCCTGAGATGAGCGAGGCATTATGCAAAGAATTTGCTGGTCTCTTTAATGGAAAACTGGGTTGTTATAAAGGGCCCCCAGTTGACTTCAAATTGGACCCTGGGGTGGCCCCAATCCGACTCAAACCAAGGCGAGTGCCATTTACACTGCAACCCAAGATCGAAGCAGAGCTGCATAAATTGTTCAAGCAGGGAGTTCTCTCACCCGTGGACTCTGCTAAGTGGGAGACTCCAATCGTCACCCCCCTTAAAGCAAATGGGGAAGTCAGGATCTGTGCAGATTACAAATGTACTATCAATAAGGCACTCAGGGGAAACTCATACCCCATTCCAGTCGTATCACATCTGTTGGCTAAACTGGCTGGGGGCAAGGTGTTCGCCAAAATTGACCTGGCACAAGCTTACCAACAGCTGCCAGTAACCCCACAATCAGCGGAAGCACAGAATATTGTCACACATAAAGGGGCGTTCAGAGTTAACAGATTACAATTTGGAGTTTGTGTGGCCCCAGGGATTTTTCAAGGGCTCATGGAACGCCTGTTAAGAGGTCTGCCGGGGGTCTTGCCATTTTTTGATGACGTTTTGATTGCTGGAAAAGACCCAGAGGAACTGGTTGTGCATGTCCGTGCAGTGTTGCTCAAGTTCAAGGAGGTGGGGTTGCAACTGAAAAAGGAAAAATGCAGTTTTGGGGTGCCAACTGTGGATTTCTTGGGGTTTAAAATTGATGCATCAGGCATCCACCCCACAGATGCTAAGATTAAGGCCATCAGCGAGGCACCACGACCACAGAACAAGACGGAGCTGAAGTCATTCCTGGGACTTATTAACTTTTATCATTCGTTCTTACCCCAGAAAGCTTCGGTAGCTGAACCATTACATAGACTGTTGCAGAAAAAGAATGTGTGGCAATGAGGGCAGGGGCAGCAGAAGGCTTTTGACTCCTTGCGAGGAATGCTGAGTAGCAGGAGCGTCCTTGCTCATTATGATGAGTCGAAGCTGCTGGTCCTGGCATGTGATGCCTCTCAATACGGCCTGGGGGCGGTGCTGAGTCATAGGGAACCGATGGGTCGGAAAAGCCCATCTCTTTCTATTCCCGTACGTTGTCGCCCACGGAGCGCAACTATGCTCAAATTGACAAAGAGGCGCTTGCAATTGTGGCAGGAATCAAAAAGTTCCATGATTATGTGTACGGTCGCCATTTCTCCATTGAAACGGACCACAAACCACTGTTAGGGTTGTTCAACCCGAACAAACAAACGCCACAAATTCTCTCCCCCAGAATGTTGGTTGGTCTATATTCCTGAACGGGTTCCAGTACACCTTGACCCATGTGCCGGGGAAACGGTTGTGTCACGCTGATGCGCTGAGTCGATTGCCCCTTCCTGGCGGGAGCAATGAGGATCCTGCTCCAGCGGAGCACATAATGATGCTGGAAACACTTCCGGGCGCTCCTGTAATGGCTACTGATATAGCTGAGAAAAAGAGGAAAGATGCTGTTCTCTCCCGTGTGCTCACTTGGGTGGGGAGGGGGTGTCGGAATCAAGCCTTGTCAGAGGAATTGGCCACTCTCCAGGCACCCGGCTTGAGTTCCTTGTTGACCTCCCCGTCTGCGACTCCCAGCAAGATCAGGCGAGATCTCAATCGGCGATCCTCCTCTAACGTGAGAAGAACACACCACTCCTCCCCTCTTCCCTGCCATCCCCAGGGAGGGGAAAGAGACAGACAGAAATGTATTTACATGCCCTTATTTCTGTCTTTCCAGCAGTACAGAGAAACGTGTCTGCACTCTCTTAACACCAACAGCAGAGAGAGAGAACTCCTCCCCTGTACTTCCAGTACAGGTCAGATGACACTCTGAGCTAACATCCGGTGCTCAGTACAGTGAATAGACTGTCCCTTTGTTCCCACGGTACAGCCACAAGCATCAACATCCTGTTTGGCTTTCCAGCCATCTGGAGCTCGCTGCTGCATTGCTCCTTTTTCGTAACATCCTCCCCCAAAAGAATCAATGCATGTTGTTGCGAGCAAAGCTTGATCCAGAGAAGAAAACAAACAGTTGTTATACACATAACACTCCCCTGTTGTTTCAGTTCCACCCTTGGAACTCCCCACCACTAGTTTCCCCAGTGTACCTCTCTGGTTGTCTGGCTTCCAAGGAATGAGTGCATCTGCATTCCCTTGGCTAGCAACTCTCTGTTGCGTCTTTGTCTCTGACTTAGACATAGCTCCAACCTGTCCTCGGTTGTGTACAACAGCAACACATGCAACAGCTAAGTTAGCAAACTCTTTTGAGTACCTCTTGGGTGGTACACCCTTTGTAACTCTCTCAGACCTACGTATGAGGTGCTGATCTTCTCTGCTCACTGGTTCAACCTCTGGACTCTGTTGAGAACCAGTACCAATGATAAACAGTGGTTCATCCTTCACCTGTGAAGGTCTATCCATTGTGTGAGATTTCCTCTCAATGACTGTGTCAACTGAGCTCTTTGAGCTATCACTGTCATCATCAGTACCACTGTAATCAGTAAAATCATCATCATCATCTGAATTGTCCTCTGTGGGAAATGTGTGTACAATTACTCTCTCCTGTTCAGGAGCACTCTCTAGAAATTTTGTGAGAATCACCTGACCAGATTCAGACAAAATTACTCTATAGAGACCCTTTTCATATCCCACAAAAATGCCTCTGGCATTCTTTACTCCACCTGGAGCTTCTGTCCTCACATGAGACCCAAAAACCTTGAAATGGGCAACAGAAGGTTTTCTGTGGAACAGCTTCTCAAAAGGAGAACTTCCCAACTCTTTTGAAACCTTTCTCAACCACGTATAACAATACGATATTAGCGACTCTGCCCAGTACTCATGTGGCAGATGTGAACTAAGCAATTGCACATTCATCCCCTGTTGCAATTCTTTGTTCACCCGTACACAGACACCCCTGTTCCACGCTTCCGCTGAAACAGCAACCTTGTGTCTTATTCCTTTCTTCTGCAGGAACTCCTGAAACTCCTGTAAAAGAAAAACTTGCTTCTCATCTGTGAAAAGACAATCAATGTTAGCATCATGCATATTTTTAACCCTGTTACAAAACTCCTGAAACCTTTCTAAGGCTTCTTGTGGTTTCTCTAACACATAAATCCAGACAAAATTAGAGAAATGATCCACACACACAAGATAAAACCTTGCATTGCCTCTAGACGGTGCTAGAGGACCAATCACATCAGCATACACCCGCTGAAATGATCTGTTGACCCTGGTGGTCTCCTGAACCTTCTTGGTCACACCTGCGAGAGAAATGATGTTAGAATCAGAAGAATTACATTTCATGTACTCACAGTGTGTATCTGAAGAAGTGTGCATGCACACGAAAGCTCATACCAAGAACTAACTTAGTTGGTCTTTAAGGTGCTACTGGAAGGAATTTTTTGCTTTATCTGTGTTGAGCAGAAATCAGCTTTCTTGGCTTACCCAACTGAAGATCCATCTCTTTTTTCAGGTAGTCGAGGATAAGAAACATGCACTGGCCTGGAGCTCCACATCATTTCTTGCAGCACACTTGACCATTGTCACAGTCGGTTTTGGTGATGTATTTGTTGCTCGGGCATTTTCCCTTCTCAGAAATGCAATTGCCTCCCTGTTGTTTACAAGTCTTTCCTTTCACGCAGCACACGTAAGAGCGGACACAGTCGGAAGATTTAATGTATTCGTAAATCTTGCATTTTTGTTTATGCCTGACAGGAATGCAATGGCCTCCCAGTTGTTTACAAGCCTTTCCTCTGGATCCTGTAAGAGGGAGAAATGCAAGAAATTTAGACAGATAAATAAAGAGAATGAGATTCTGACTTGCCAGGCAGTTTGATCAAACAAAGAGAGAAGGGTGACTGAAAGAGAGAATATGAGCAGAGTGAGATAGCATAGAGATTTAATGCTGTAAATTGTTTTCCTGATTTCCCACATTTATTTTAAATTGGGCTGTCACCAAATCGGACCCTGCTGCCTGGTGCACTGCAGTTGCCTATTCTTAGTTGACGGGAGTATATTCCTTATTTTCCATATTTCTTTTAATTAGAATTCTCAAATAATTGAAGAAATACAATTCACTGTGTGACTTTTAGAATAATAATTGCTTGAATGTCAATAAATTTGCTTGTAAGCAAATTCAGAGTCAGCATGCATCCACTAACTGTATATGATATATACATATACATATGTATATATGTACATATATACATATAACTGTATATGATATATACATATACAGACAATGAATATTGTCTTAGAGGAAAAATCCTCAAGGGTGAAAACGTGGTTCTATTTACCTATATGGTGTTATTACAACATGTTGCTTCTTGAGATTTAAGAATGTTATGTAATAAGACTGTGAAAGACAAGCAAGTGGAGAAGGTGGTGGAGTAGAAAAATTCATCAATTCTCTTAAGAACTGTGATCAGGCAAAGGACAAAAAGAGGAATTACCCAGAGCCCCTAAGTTTAGCACACATTACAGAGAAGAGCCATAGCTCAGTGCCAGAGCACTGAGGCCCGGATTTCTAAAGAACAAACTTCTCTCTTCAAGGTTGATTGATTGATTGATTGATTGATTGATTGATTGATTGATCTTTATTACGGCCATTGGCCCGTTACACGACAGTTTCCCATACCAACATATTATACTTAAACCTCCAAATTTAAAATCGCCAAAACTTACAAAAGACAAACAATAATCGAAGCAAAACAAAAACAAAAACCACCCTCATACAAAAACAGAAACCACCATCATACATTACAATAAATATCAGGGATATCAATGGGGATATCGCCTAAAACATAGATCATGGTTTAAAACAATGGTGATATCACCTAAAACATAGGTCATGGTTTAAAGGGGTTATCCGAAACACACAGGAGACCGTTTCTCTTCTTTAGGGATAGGACGCTGATCAGGAATCTGGCAACCATGAGTGATTTTAGGGGGTCATCATCAGTTAGTAGATATCTCAGTTTGGCTTCAATCGTATCATCGGCAATTCCCTTAAGATATTGAGCAAGAAACTTGCTCCTGGCCGGTAAGTGAAAAGCACAGTCAAAGATTATGTGGTGCAACGATTCCGGTGCCCCACTATTACAATCACATAAGAGTGATATCTGTCCATTGGAGAATCTATTTCTCAGCACGTTCGATGGGAAGGTGTTGAATCTTGCCTTTACAAAGGCATATCTATGAGCTGAGGAAGTTAGGGAATTCAAATAGTTTGGGAGCCTTGAGAGGGATAATAAACCAAGATTTAGAGGTGAGCAGGTACCATTGCCCAAGATCATTTTCTGCTGCAAGTCCATCTCCTCTAGCTTACAGGTTACTGTTCTTTTAGCTGGGACTATGTCCTGCTCTAGTAATTTGGATGGGGAGATTCCCATTGCCGTTATTTTCAGCTGTAAATTTTTTACCCATGGGCTCTGGAAATCATCTCTCCACATACATTGTATCAAGTACAAGTTTGGGAGATTGTGTCATAGAGATAACCAGTGACAAAGTATGTGCTTCCACAGAGCATTTTCCAGGGATACAATATTGAGTTCCATGCGTAACGCTGTATTACTTACACAGTTGGGCAGTTTCAATATCCCTCTTAAAAACTGATTTTGAATGACCTCCAGGTGAGATAGGTTGGCAAAAGTCCCCCAGATTGAGATGGCATAAGCAATTGTCGGAATCACCTTGGCCTTGAAGACTTTCAACGCCGATGGGATATGAAGGGCCCCATCGGTGAAGAAGAATCGCAAGATCGCCAAGGAGATAGCTTTGGCTCTATTTGTAACATAGGCTACATGGGCCTTCCATCTGAGGTTATGTTGTAACCAAACTCCCAAATATTGGAGTCTATAGACTTGTTCGATGACTCTCCCATCAATTCTCCAATTATGGAGTTTCCGGCTCTTTGAGAAAATCAGGATCTTAGATTTCCCATAATTAATTGTAAGGGAATTTGCGTTACAGTATGATCCAAAAAATTTTAGGGCCCTCCTGAGACCTACTCTAGAAAAGGAGAGAATGGCTGCGTCATCCGCATATAGTAACAAGGGGCAGCGATAAAGTGCTAGGCGGGGTGCATGAGGTTCAACACCCCAGGTTCAGTATAACCATTTCACAATAGCAGTCCTAGATATTTGGAAGAAGAAGAAGAAGAAGAAGAAGAAGAAGAAGAAGAAGAAGAAGAAGAAGAAGAAGAAGAAGAAGAATAATTTATTATTTATACCCTGCCCACCTGGCTGGCTCCCCCCAGACACTCTGGTCGGCTTCCAACAAAACACTAAAATACAATAACCTATTAAACATTAAAAGCTTCCCTAAACAGGAATAACCTTTAAACTGATGTTACAGGTATTTATAATATGTACATTGGCGGCCCATACTGCCGACAGTGGGTTGGTAGAGGTGGAAAATGCATTACGAAAACAAGTGCAATCTGTTTGTCTTCTCTCCACAAGGAGGTTTTGGATTGTGCCCCATATAGGCTTCTTGAAACCAGCGCACCAGTCCCAGCCAGGTGACAAGCTTTGGGTTGAAGGAGTTGAAGAACGAATCGCTGGCACAGTGCTGGGGAGGTCCATTTATCATCCCATTCAATGTTGAAAATTGGAATGCTTTTTGAAATGGTGTTAAAGGTTTTTATAATATGTGTATATTTACCTATATGGTGTGACTACAATATGTTGTTTCTTGAAATTTAAGAATGTTTAATAATAATAATAATAATAATAATAATAATAATAATAATAATAATAATAATAATAATTTTATACACCGCCCATCTTTCTGGGTTTCCCCATATTAAAAACACAATAAAACATCAAACATAAAAAACTTCACTAAACAGGACTGTCTTCTGATGTCTTGGTCTGCCATAGTCAAAACAAAAAAAATTCCTTGCAGTAGCACCTTAAAGACCAACTAAGGTAGTTCTTGGTATGAGCTTTCGTGTGCATGCACACTTTTCGTGTGCATGCACACTTCTTCAGATACACTGAAGAAGTGTGCATGCACACGAAAGCTCATACCAAGAACTAACTTAGTTGGTCTTTAAGGTGCTACTGCAAGGAATTTTTTTTGTTCTGATGTATTCTAAAAGTAGATAGTTGTTTACTTCCTTGACATTTGATGGGAGGGTGTCCCACAGGGCGGGCTACACTACCGAGAAGGCCCTCTGCCTGGTTCCCTGCAACCTCGCTTCTTGCAGTGAGGGAACCGCCAGAAGGTCTTTGGAGCTGGACCTCAGTGTCCGGGTTGAACAATGGGGGTGGAGACACTCCTTGAGGTAGAAGAATGTGAAAGAGCAAGCAAGTGGAGGAGGTGCTGGAGAAGAACAATTTATCAATTCTCTTAAGAAATGTGATCAGGCAAAAGGGGGAAAAAGAAGAATGACCCTGAGCCGTTCAATTTAGCACCCATTACAGAGAAGTGCCATAGTTCAGTGCCAGAGCATTGAGGTCTGGATTTCTAAGGAACAAACTTCTCTCTTCAAGGTTCAATGTCCCAGGTTCAATATAATAGCAGTCCTAGAAATTCGGGTTAGCTTTGAAACTAATGAACATATATTTATAATATATGTCTATGTACAGGGGCAGCCCATCCTATTTCAACACAAAAAGGCAAAAAGGGAAGATGGCATCCCATGCTGTGCGCCACCACCAAAGCCTAGCTTACCAGGGTTGCGCAGCTGCGGCTTCCACATGCCACTGAGATCTCAAGGGGCTCCCATGAGATCTCTCTGGAAACCAGAAACTTCCTCATCCATATCTGCTCACTTCTCCAGTGGCATAGGAGGCACCTACCTCAGCCTGCCTCATGGATGGGACCGGTGGTACTACATGACTTCCAACCCCATTTTTTGTTTTGTCATTTATGTCCAAATGTTTTTATTTCAATGTATGTTTTACCTGCAGAAAACATGATCATCCCAGAAAACAGAAGGGCAACCATGAAGAGCCAGCGCAGTTGCATTGTTGAAGCTTGACTCG